GCTAAAATAAAATCACAATTCGTAAGAGATTTAGATTCTGTACACGTAAGAAATGATACAACAGCCCGCTAATTGGAGACAATATTATTCAAATGTTACTGAAGAACAAAGACTGGTACATAATTATGTGCAAGGAGTGGGAGGGTTACGAGAAATGTTTCAATCTAGTAGACTGAACCACAGCTGAAGAAAGGATAAACCAATAACCTCGCAAACAAGCATTAATAAGCTTCTGTCACAGCACAAGGAACATAAAGAGAACATGTTTGTTTACTCAGTGAGCTAAATTTTGCCTACAGGCAGACCTACCTTTTGCAAGACAGTCATGTACATATAGGCATAGTATTTGTATACACATGTGAAAGTGAAACATAGCTTTAACATTATCTATAGAGAAGCAAGACTTCACACCCTAGGACGGCATATTTCAAAAGGACCTATGAAAATAACATCATAGTTTATAGCCAGTTTAGTAATAATTTTGACAACATGAACTGGGAGAACTTAGATGTGAATGATCTTTTTAAATTACTTATATACATTTTTTTATTTACGACTATAGAAAACAAATGCTTGTATCTGGCTTCTGGTGCCTGTGCTGCCATTAATAATCGCTATTGTCCCTAAGAGACAGAAACAGCAAGCGACCTCGCCTAACAGTGATGTTGTATAAAGAAATTCATTAATAGTGTATTTGCGGAACACTCAGATCTCACAGTGAGAAGCAGCACGGAAAAGTCTATGAGGAAATTAATCATTCCGCATTCAGTAGAGGATCTGGCAGATGTGCAGTAAAGAAAGCCTGGAGGCATACATTAAATATGAAGATAAAAAAAGATTCTAGCCATTACCAGCAGAAATAATATCCCCTGAATGAGCATCATCTGCCTTAGTTATTAAATGTTTGACGTATTCTCATTCAATACAAGGGGAAAAACTTCTGATTAACGAGTGTGGTAAGATTATAACAAGTACCAGCCAGGTATTCTATGCAAAATATAGAATCTGATAATGTAATTAAAGTCTATCATAAATATATGTTCTGGGACTAGTATTTCCTCATTTCTGCATGCTTAATTTTGCAACTAAATAACACTCCCACAGCGCAGGAATTATTAGCAAGTGTACATTATCTCAGCACTCAGAGGCTTCTGTCACCACAGCTCTAGGTGTGTTATGTGTTAGCACAGTAAACCAAACCATGTTTCATGCTGCAGCTGCTAAACTGCTTCTGTAATCAAGCTACCCTGTTTTACATCTAGCTAAAGAGAGTCAGGATAGCAAAGACAGGACAAAAAAAAAAAAGCTTAACAGTGGCAACAAACCTTCAGGTTCACAGCTAGCTCAGACAACTGTATTAACAGGGCAACTGTAAATTACTAATTTTATTTTACTCTACATCAGTTCAGTTCTGCTCTCCCATCCACATAAGTTATGGTTTATCTTGCCCCATCAGTTCAAATTTGAAGTCAGATTTCAACTTTCTCCTCTGTTAATCGGTAGGGATGGCTGCTGGAGAGGAAGGATGTGTAAGGAAGACACTAGGATGCACCCCGGGGTTGGAAAAGGTCTATCAAAGCTGCCTTCTACAGTACTTCAGAAATGGGAAGAAGAGGCAAGGGGGCTCCATGCATGCCTGTCTAGAAAAATGAAAGATGTGCTAGAATAATCTGGCTGGCAGAAATATTCTCAACATCTGTGCTGAGATGCCTCATTGCTGTAGCTATCATGGTTCCTAGTACCCCAAAAACCCCACTGCATGAGACAATATGGATGACCAAGTATAGTTCTTCAAGCAGCCACATATAAGCCCGTGCCACTGTGTTGAGACTGAGATTTTTACCCGGGCTGCTTAAGTCAGAAAGGGCACACTGCCTGAAGATGCAGCGTGAGTTAGATAACCACGGGCTGAGGAACTGCAGCATCCTTAGAGGTTCCCAGGCAGTATATCAACAGGTATATTCTGGGGATGACACCTCAATTATCCCACATCCTGACCCCTGGAACCAGCCTGCACAGCGTGGGGGCACAGCTCAGGGGTTGTGAACAGCCAGTCTGCTGAAAAGAAAGGCAAGGCTCTTCCAACTTCTTTGTGCAATAGCAACTGTCTCTCACCTTTAGATGGACAGCCCACTCACTACCTGGAGAGAGACTGACTCTCACATACAATCTGCCTTGGAAAGAAGAGGCTAGCCTATGCTCACCTAGCAAGGTGAAGGCAGGATGAGAAACGCATGAAACTCCCAGCGCCCCACGGGCGACGTATGTGCTTTCTCTCCATGCTCCTGCCCGTGGTTCAGGCTCTAAGCATTTTTGCTGCTTAGGAACAATCAGCTCAGTTTATTAGCTGGTGAGCCACAGGGTAGTGCTTGGACGCTCCTCTGCCTAATTCAGACAGACATCACAAGTGGGAGTTTGGGTCTGTTCAGCCAAATGTATTCAGGTTCTCCATCTTGAGAAACTTCAAAACTTGGCTGAACTATTGATGTATTTACTGCTTTCTTTCCCACAAGAAGAACATTGCTGTTAAAAAAAGTGCATGGCATACTTTCTGAGACAAATCTGATCAGTTGAAAGGAAAAAAATAATTAGTTATCTTCATGAATATGCACGTCCAAAAGATGATGTGCAATTCTCTTTCAAGGGTCAATTCTGACTGATTTCTGAGGATGCAGGTGGTCAATGCCTCACGAGCAAGAGATAAAGAATTTTAGTAACCAGATCTTCCAGGATAGCATAGCAAAGCTTAATGATATGTTTATCCTCAATCAAGGCAATGGCAGTAGGTAACTAATTTTTTTCTCCAGCAGACATGAAAAAGCCTAATATAGATATGTTTTCCATTTACTGTGTTATTAATATTATTGAACTAATAGAAATTGGCTTAGTCTTTTTTTTTTTTTTTTTTTTTAAGCTAGCCTACCAGTTAGCTTCTGTTTGACACAAGCAGGACGTACCATGAATCTGCTGTTCATTCAGGGTCTGCTCATTTCAACATAAAACAGCTAAATCTTACTGCATGTTAAAACTAACTTATCTCTTTTCAGGAATGCAGAACCAAATAAAGATTTACCGAGCTTTCCCGGAGATGAAAAACAAACAACAAACCTAAATGCAGGTGAAAGACTTGTAACAGAGCTGGCAATCACCACATTCTAACAAAAATATCCAAATTTGTAAAAATTAACAAACCAAAACATGGAATGAGAGAAAACATTCATAGTGAGAAAATCAGGAACTTATACTATTGATCTTTGAAAAAGGTCAACAGTATACAATGATATCTACAACTACAGGGTTCAAAGATGACAACAGCAAACCTCACACGAATTACTGAATAAGAGTGACTTTTTCTGATTCTTTGTAGCTCAGAGCACTCAAATATATTGATCACTTCATTTGAATACTCTAAAATATCCTGTCTTAGAAATTGAACAAGGCATAATGGAAACTGAAGCTAGTAAAATTGAAAAAGCCTATGCTCTGTTTGTTTGTTCAAAAAGCTAACAAGTTTGGTTAATTCCCACATAAACTGAAGGAAGTGTTAATGACAAACATCACTCCCTTTTCAAACTAAAATTTTTTGCTCATCTTTTTTTGAAAGAAGAAAGTTTTTGCTATTGGGTATTGTTTGCTACTGGTTATACTCAACAAATGATAGCTAAAATATCTATTGCCAGGTACATCAGTATAAATGTACAGGTCCTAGTTCTCATCTCCTTTGACTCATGGGAACTTGGGACATTAGAATCACAGGGAAAAGACACCCCTTTTTCAAAGACAGCTTCACTGACATTGATGTTAAAATACCTATTTATTTTTTAACATATCAGTAAAAAGATTATTCCTTACTTCACAGACACCTGACAAAGCCAATATATTTTTACTGGTTATCAAAGGATCAATATCACTTTTGGTTACATACCAGAAATAATCAAAGCCCTGGAATAGGGAGTGATGGGAAGTGACAGCTCTCTGTAGTTATTACATTTAAATAACATGTCAGTCTTAATCAAAAGATGATCTCTTTAAGGGACCAGGACTTCCATCAGTAAAGTTCTTTTACTTGCCCAGTAAGAAGATTACAAGGAATTTAAACAAATAAAGATTGATTTTTGTTGGAAACAGGCATTCTTTATTCTTTACCATAAACAGACTTGTTATGTAGAGTGCCGCTACATGTAGCAATTGCTTTTCTTGTTTCCTTTTTTAGAATTCCCTTTGTGATCCATATATTAATCTGTGTCAAAAATGATCATCATCAAAATATATAGGTTCTTTTTGACCTTTGAAAAATATATCCTACCCTTAAAATCATACTTTTATCAAATTATATATATAATTAATGTATTATTATTCAGGAGAAGTGTGTATGAAATTGCTAAAACTCCTAAGAGATTCTAATTTCTTTCATAGTTTCTTAAACTCTCTTTGCTATTTTTCCACACAGTTTTACATAAAGCAACTTTAGTCATGTGATGCCAGTGTGTAATCCCTCTTTGGAATGGATTTTAAGCTTCAAAACAACGATTAGGAAAGGCATCTAAAAAATACACGTAGCACAGTTGTAGCACAGTAGCTAACTTGTCAGCTAAATCTGACTGATGGTCTATTTCCCAGTGCTTCAGAATCATCAGTAGCATAGACATGCAGTTTTATTCATTTATTTTGCTATTGCTCAAAAGAGGAAACTATCTTGTCCCACAAGGTATGACAGCAGTTTTTCGGGTTATGTTGCCTACCACTAGAATGGCTACTGTGAGCTTAAACATATACCCAATCTCTGCACCACCTTTCTAACCACTTGCAAACTGCAGACTTCAACTACAGTAAGAGTTTCATATTTCTGATAACTATGAACCAGAGAAAACTGAAGGATTATAGGGTAACAATGCTAAACCAATAGTGTGCTTTTTATACATCATCTGAATCTGCATTTCCATTAAAAGGAACATTACATAGCAGTCAATGGCATAACAACATAAACACCTATGTCTTACCCTTTGTTTTCAAGTCGTTTAATACCTTTGATTCCACGGGCAGTATATCGCTCACTAGTTTTATCTCAATATTTCGGGATGCCAGTTCAAGCAATTTTTCAAAAAGACGCTGACCCTGGGAAGAACATTACAGGAGAGCAGAAGTTGAAAGACATAGAATTGTTCAAACAGCATATCATAAACCAAAACAAAAACATATTGTACAACAGCTGAATAAATAACTTCATAGATATGGTTAAATCTACCCAAAAGGTTAACAACTCAAAACAACTTTTTCTTGGAGAAATACTGTTTTGAAGGCCAAAGTTGTTTCTTCCTTTTCCCAGATTGTACAATACTACTGGTGACAGGTGACACACAGAGAATGAAGTGTCAAGGTTTTTTATGCTGCATAAACATATTTTTACATTAACTTTCTTCAAAATAATTACATTCTGTTAAATCATGATAAAAAGTGCAAGGAAAATAGTTTATTACACTTAGTCTGTACTGAATTATTTTTTTTTTTAAGTAGTTCTAACCATAGTACAATACATTCTTCAAGTGGTCACATGCTTATCTTGAGCTATACCAGGAAAGAAAACAATGATCTACATGTATATCATATGCTTTTCCTTCTTACGCTGTTATAACTTTACTATTTAAACCCTATTTCTAACACAGAATAAAAAAGAGAATCTTGTACTGAGCCACAGCATGAGATTTAAATAGCTTCATTTTTCCAAGAAACAAAGAAAAAGTAAACCTTCTGACTGCATAGTAAATGTTTAATTTTTAGATTCAGTATTTTAAAGAAAAATGCTTAGTTAGAAGCATCTAACTACACAATATCAAGAATAAAATATCCTGTGTATCACTACTGTGCTGTGTTACCATAACCACAGTTAAAGCTCATTTCCTTGCTGCCATTCTAGCTTACTACAGCAGACACTAGTTACGGTTAGCAGTTGGATACACAAAAACTTTGGGTTTACGCAGCTGACAAAGTGCCTGCCCTACCTACACAGCTCACTTTAGATTGAATATAATGCTGGCCCCAAGGTAAAGCTAAAACAAAAAAGCAAGTCACATCAACTTTCAAACAGGTAGAAGATAAAGCTTTCCACAGAACCATGTTAGATGATTCTCTGTACAAACTGTTACTCTAAAAATCTTAAAAGGGTCTTTCTGTTCAACAAAAATGGCCATAGAAAAGCAGTTTGGGATGATGCAATCTGGCATAGCATGGACTAACAAAACCTCAGACAGAAGCCCTCCTCCCACATAGAAGTCAGAAGCAGCAGACAGTGGTAAGCCACCCTTTGCATTGTAGCTGCCATCACAGGTTGACACTTTGAGTGTTGCCGGGCCTTAACCATTAAGGAGTCACAGAAAGTAGCTCTGTACCTGCATACAGTATAGACCTACTTTTTAGTATTCAGTTAGTTTGAATATATGTGGCAAAATAAGAATACCCAGCCTCCTAAAATCCAGCTTTCTCAAAATTACAAAGCGGCCAGAGGCTGCAATGGAAACACAGAACTACCATTTCTATTTTACTTCTGTAATACACGCCTGCTTGCTGACTCAAATCCATAGCACGGCTCCCTGCTCATCCCAGGGCTCACAGGAACTTAGCAATGAAATACTGCCATAATGATAGGGTTAATCTTCACAAGAAGCTGGGAGGGGGCACAGACAGGACAGGGTGACCTGAACAAGCCAAGGGGATATTCGACGCCGTGCTGATGTCATGCTCAGTATATAACTAGAGGAGCCAGCTGGGTGTCGGGGGGGTGGGGGAGTTGATCGTGGCTGGGAAAGGAGCTGAGCATGGGGTACTAAGTGGTGAGCAGTTGCATTGTGCATCACTCGCTTAAGTTATTAGCTTTATTAGTATTGTAGTTATAATTTTTTTCTCTTCTTGTGTTGTTGTTTTAAACTGTCCTGATCTGAAGCCATGGGGGTTTGCCCTTTTCATTTTTTTTTTTTTTTTCCTTCTGATTCTTCTCCCCATCCCACTGGGATGGTGGGAGCGATGAGCAAGCGGCTGCCTGGTGCTTTGTTGCCAGCTGGGCCTAAACCACAACATGGGAGCATTACACAATAGCTACCAGAGCAGGAAAACAAAAATGTGCTTTGCATGATGCTCCAAAACTTCTTATACTCCGATTCAGCATTTCTGGAGGTGACCAGGTGGTCCCATATGTAAGTAGTAACACCCGTAATTTGACTCACACACCCAAAAGCCCTGACTGAGTTGCTGTGCAAGTCAAGGAGTGGCTTTCTCTCACATTCCTCATGAAGCTAAAAGGATCCTTAATTTTGACATCAGTGAATGGTTGTTTTTGTTTGCTTGTTTGGTTTTTGTTGTTGTTGTTGTTGTTTTTTGTTTTTTTTTTTTTTTAAAGGAGAGGGGCAGATGTTACCAGAGGTAAGAATTAATGAGATAATAGCATGGAGGGGCAGATGCTGCATATGGAGTTGTGCAGCAGCTCTGTCGCGATGCCGGGGGAGCAGAAGAGCACTGGCCAGTATTCGTGGGTGCCCTGAGACCCAAGAGGGTTTCTCTTGCAATTGCTGCAGTCTAGCACTGCTAGACTCTAACTGAATCTGGGAACAGCACTTGCCACACTGCTGCCTGTCGGGTTCCCAGCACATGCCCTGCCCTGTCCCCTGGGTGACAGGCTGCTGATGTGCCAGAGCTCAGGCAGCCTCTGGACCTGCTTCTTCTGGGTCCACTGACTGGAGACACCAGCAGTTTTCATTTTCAGTAGTTATATATTTGCAAAAAGTGAGCAAGGAAAATCAAGGACTAAAAGGCTTGCATGACATCAATGAATTAAATAAATATATATGGAGAAACTGCTACTCAGAAAGGTTCTATACGTTGATTTAATTTACTAGGTAGAAAGACAAAAGACATGCACTGGTTTTCTTTGGGTTATCTGTAAAAACTAATTTTGACTAGAAGCCTAGTAGAAAGCTCTAACATACAAAGATAAACATGGAAAAAGCACTCATAAATTTGATGGAGAAGGATTTGAATTATCAATACAAATTAATGCATTAACTGTTCTGCTAAAGAAATGCTCAGAAAGTTAACATCTAAAGCTGATAAAATCAATTGTTTCAGGGGATGGTTCTTTATGTTTTTTTCCCCATGGTAATTATTTTTGGACATTATTGGCATTTCTACCTGCACAAGATTTATTTACATATGATTTACAAAAGCTTTGATAAACAAGCCTGGACTTTCTGCATTAAGTTTGAACAAAAAAGAACATGGCACTGTTTCCTGAGTTTTACCTGTTCTTAGTATGTCCTGATGTGACCCATACAGCATCCTTGATGGACCACCTGGATGTCTCTTACAGGCCACGCTGCCCGCTGAATGGCCTGTCCTATGGCTGAATATGTCACTTGGGGTGCAGCCCTGCATTCCAATGAAGATACCTTCTCTGAAAATACATCTCTTTTCCCATCAGGGACACCACAAGCCACACATTTATAATATCCTTTTTTGTCCAATTATGTTCATAAATGGTAAAACCTCAAACTGATAAAACATTTAAAGCATCTCTCTAAGTAGTGATGGTTAAGACTAGAAGTCTCACCACAAATATGTGTTTATACCACTATACAAAAAACACCACCTGGTGCCAGAGCCGGACCTCCGTTTCATCTCTAGCTGCATCATCCCTCAGCAGGCATTCATACACTCACCAAGGCTTAGTCTAGACACTCTAAACAACTATGAAAAATTCACAACTTGCCTTTAAAAATCTGTTCATACTATAGTAAAGGAGGGTATTAGAAATTCTTCCTTCCTTGTCGAGGTACCTGGCTTTCTTCACCATTAATATTAATTTGAAACGCAGTTTCTATACTTTGTGACATGTTTACTTGCAATTTTACTATTTTGTTCTATGAAAAGGAAAAAAGACAGGACAGAAGGTCTGAAGAGCTTTGTCACTGCTGTCAGCACATTGGAAATGCTTCTGTTGAAAACAAACCCTCATGCTGTCACTCAGACCACATTCCCTTTGCGAGACAATACCAGACTGCTGCATGACTGTGTGACAGCAATCAGAGTCATTTCTACATACCCAGCCCGTGAGGACTGAGAAATAGTAGAAGCCAAGTGCTATGAAACTGCAGCGTGCTACCTTACACCATATCTGCATTTTAACAAACAATACCACCAGAAATCTGCCTATCCTGATAAAATATTCTCTTATACTATTCACTGGGATGTTTCAAAAAACTACTGAAAGTGACAAAATAGTGTGTAAAAAGAATTTATCACATGAACAAACTGACATTCTCATAGTAGCTTTAAACCACTGTACATCTGAAACATCAATCCCAACTGTACCTGCCACAGTCACCTGGTGAATTTAAAAATCAAGAAAGTTATCATTACTAAGAGGCCCTGAAATTGCCCCCAAAGCAATTTTTTCAAAGTCACTACGTAGACTGATTCTAGCCTGGCTGATTTCCCTTGCCTGCTATTGTCTTTATCAGCCTGTGGTCCTCATTAAAAATAAAACAGGGGAGATATGAACATGAAAATGCTGTATTTATTGAAGTACTCTAAAATTGAATTATTGTGCTCTTCAGTGATTTAGACTGTAGGACTCTAAACTGTAGGAGTTTAGATGATTCTTATTTATTTTTTTTTTTTCCACAGAAACAAACCCGGCTACTTCCAGATTTTTCTGCTGAATTTATTCTATGTAATTCTACTAATATTTGTTCTAATATCTGTCTACTAATAGTTGTCCTATAATCAAGCCTCTGGGTGTATCTATAAAATATCACTAAAAATTATAGCATGCCAGCAGAAACCAACAGAGCAAATAAATCAAGAAATCCTAACTTTCACTTCTGCTATTTAATCTAAAACAGAGAAACTCAAATGCTCACCTCAAATTCTTCTAGCAAAACAGCTATTGAAAAGGGAGAGAATGTGCTTTAATTTTAAAAACTCTCCCTCTTCCTATGCCTCAGGCTGTATCAGGGAAATGACACCACCTGAAGAGGAGAGATATTTGGGTAAAGATGAGCTTATGTCAAAGAAAATACACTGCAATCTCCATAGTTGACTGTAGCCGATTTCTGATGGTAGCCATTAGGTTTGGAGATGTGCTCTTCTTTGTACTTATCTGTGTCTTTTAGCAATTGTCAAGGACGGGTACTTAAGCTCTGGCACTAACATTTGTTCTACCAAACAAAACACTTAACATCCTTGGGCAATGCACATCTGAGTGACACCTGACTCATCATTAGAGATTTCTTACAAAGATGGACAGCTGGCTTACATGAAACATTATCAGAGGGAGTGGGAGACTTCTCCCATCAAGCCATTTGGGAGCTGCACAAGAGGTAGGTAAATAGAGGTAAAGTCAGAACCATCTATTTTTCATGTGATCATTGTAAAAATCTGATGCAGATCTACCCTTTGATCATCTTATGGTCATCCAAATAGCTTTCCAGGGAGAACTGTTCCATATGCATGGTAACACCAATAAGCCATGATGGCATTAAATCTTATTGGTGAAACATAAAACTAAATTTGTGAGGAAGGACTTGCTGGAACTATAAAAGGTCACTCTAAATTAAAGTTTCTAAACATGAGATGAGCCAGAGAAAATTAATTGTGAAAACCATAAAGTTGGCATGATCTTATATTCACCTCTCTCTTCACTGCAAATGAATGAAAAAGCTATCCTCAAAAATTGTGTTTCCATTGTTCTCTGATATTTCTAAACATCAGATTGCCACAGGAGGATTCACACGTTCACATTCTGCAAAAATCTCAAAGCCTCTACATGATAACTACACTGCTATCTCAAAAATGCACAGACGACAACACAAAGTCGCCAAAACATATGGTTTTCTTCTGAATGTGAAAAGCAGGTTTAGAAAGTTCGCTCAGTATTTTGCCCAACAAATATTGGTTTACTTGACCACTTAAGTTGTAGACACACACAAAACACTGTAGCATCGTGTGTTTGCATTTGGAGACTCCAATTTAGCAAGATTCATGAACCCAGATAGCGGAGTACAGCAGCTGTGACCTGGACAGCTCAGTCAGCAATGATACTTTATTTAGATTTATAACAAGAAAACATAGACAGGTAACTGTCATGGACACTAACATACCCACAAACAAAAATGAAGAAAATACAGCAGGAAGCTCTGCAATTTTATATATGCACGTGTATACATATATATATTTGTCCAATATACATTTGGACAAAATGGACAGTATCTATAAATATGGATGATATTCATATTGGGCATGTATGTATATGCACATATGTACATAAAATTGCAGAATTTTCTGCTGTATTCTTCTTCAATACATATAGTGGACATATATGTGTGTGTGTATATATATATAACTTTACAAACATATATACAGAGAACCTAGCTAAGCTTTGTAAATAATTAAGAAAAAGCAATCTAGCCTACTCAGCTTTTCTCCTTCAAAAATTCATGCTTGTTGAAGTGCTCTTGTGGAGAACCTTGCTTTGCAATATCCCTTGAATATTCATAAAATGAAAATTGGTAGTTATAGAACAGGATGTGGGTCCATATGGAAAATGGTTCTGTCCTTGGTTTCTGATAAAACAAGTATCATTCAAGGAATGACTAAAACTTACTAACTAAGCACCATACTACCTGAAGTTTTGTTTCTCACCCCCTTGCCTTTCATAATGCTTCTGCTATTTTGAGGCAAATTTCCCTAAACTCAAATTGTAAAGAGCTGAGAACATCCTACCTACACTTCAGAAAATTACTAGATTACAATTATTGAAGCTCCTATGAAATTTCACTTCCATTTTGCAAGTGGAGAAAGCAGATGTAATGATACCACTTTTCTCCCTTTTCCTTTCACACACTAAACTTTGTGTACATTCTCTGGGGCAGTGATTTGCCGCCTCTTGGCAATTTCTTTAGTAATTAGACTGGCCAATAGCAGTATAGTGTTTTAGCATAAGTTGACAAGCTTGACAGAAAGATCTATCAGCTATTCAGCCCACACTGCTGTACAAATGAGGAAAAGACTGGAATATTAATTACCTTTAAACAGAAGTAATTACTCACTTTTGTAAGACTACTAGCAGGCAGAAATAGATAACTAGAATATAATATTATGAAAAATGTTTAATTTTTCTGGCTTTAACAGTGCATTTGGCAATGAAGGAGCAAATCCACTTCTTACATGTCTCTTCTTCATTTCCCTTCTCTGACATTCAGCAATATCTTACAGTTTTTACTTTGCATGAGAATGTGGAACAGTGAATGGATTTGATGCTTAACTACTGAAATCCCAGTTTCTAGTTTGTTATTTTTGTCTTCTGGGATTTGGTAGGCTCTGCTGACTTTGAAGCAAATGACATGTTGAATTTTTTTCAGACAAAACATTTTTAAAAGATTCATGCACATACCAATTCATGCACATCCTAAAAACATCTAAGGTACTATCTCTTTGAATTCATCTGCTTGAATGGCAATATATGGGTTTGAAGTTTCTTAGGCAAGAAATTGAAATACAACTTAGTTGAAGAATTACATTGTGAAAAATCTCAATATTTTGATACTCGATAAATTTATTCACAAACTATATACCAATATTTATAAGAATTCTAAAAGGAAGGGTTTGCACTACATTTTCTATTTGGCTGCTCACTTCAGACTTTCACTCTTTTAAATAGACACACAGCAGATTTATTCTGAAGAAAAGTTAACATATGCCATTCAACCAGACTACGGACTCTTTCAAAAGAAGTAGAATCCAGTTCATGACTTGAAAACACAGGCTATTTGCAGTACCATCTTTAGTTGCTCGGAATACCAGTCTTTGTCTATCATCTACCAACAGGCATTTTTTTACTGCAGAGCATCGACAGAACTAGAGAGTAAAGTGAAGAGTTTATGACATAGTATAATAGAGTTGATTCCTTACCATTACCTGGCCGTCATTTTAACCCCATTTCATGCCAGTTGAGTGGCTTCTTTCAGCAAGGAATCCATTTTGTGGAAAAGAGGAGATACTCTCAGCCTATCAGTTCCTTGATACCTTAGTTTCACAAGTGACACTAAGTGGAAACCTGACCTTACCATATTTCTATGGGTATTTCTTTCAAGAATAAAGTGTTTGTTGGCACAGCACCATCGTAACGCATGTCTGTCTCATTCACTTTGATTTATGTTTTTTTCCTATTGCTCTTAATTGCAGAAGTCTTGAACACCATTCCCTCCAAAATTAATTTTTAAAAGCTATGAGAAATAACCTGATACTATATTGTTCTTTAAGTATAATTCAAACAGAAAATAAGTGTATAGATTTGTGGATATTCCCAAATTACGGATGTGTTAAAGTAGGTACAATTTTCCAGATTTCTTAAAATTACAAAATTATATCCTTTCTTAAGATGGAAGCGATATGAATATGTGTTGGGTGTATTATCTAGTCCAAGTGTGCCATCACTCTCAGAAAACTATTGTATTGTCAGGAAAATCCCCATAAGAAAATGTTTTTTTTAGACTACCCAAACATATAGGTCTGCTACAGGGAAGAGCTGTATAGTTCTAAAAAATTAATAGTGAAACAACAAGAACAGATTGTTAAAGTCCCCCCCTTTTGTTAGGCTAGAACATACCTGGCATGCTGATGGATGACTGTGATTGAGGTCCCACTGGGAAGATACTATGTCAACAGATTTTTCAGCCATATTAAGCAAATTCATCCAGCCTTGGAAAAGAGACAAATGGGATGGTGCACTGTCTGAATAGTTGATCCCTTCAGGAATATTTTCCACAAGAGCAACCCTGAGAATAGATAAGGGAAAAAATAACCACTTAACAAAAGCACTTTTCTTTAGTAAAGAATTCCAAATTGTAAAAAATGTCAGGTTCTGGGCCCGTGGTTCAACATCTGCTCCCAGAGGCTCTCAGCCACCCTGCAACTCACTCTGAAGTTTCTGACTGCCATACTCTGCATTTCCCAAAACGATCAAATGCGGAAATGACCTACTGTTAATGCAGCAAAGCCAATTAAGCTTTTGAAGCTCTGAAAAATTAGCTAAAACATGGAAAAACTTATTTCTTATAACACAGTAGGCGGGAATCACTCCTTAAGGTGAGGATGGGAAGAATTAAAAAATTTCTTCTTGCTTTGCCACTCTCATCTATGCATTTAATTTCATCTTCTCTCTAAGCAATATGGCAAGACGTACACTGCCTGGCATTCTCTTCGGTCTGCTTTTACAGCTGACATTTTATTACACTGCAGTCTCTATAAATGAATCCTTCCTTTTTGACTGCTCTTAAGCTACATAATTTTTCTGCTTTTGTTTACCTGTACAAGGGTCTAACTGGGATACAGTGGTTAAGAAAAGAATAATTATGCCTTTTTAATTTCCTGTTCTTTTTGGAAAGCTCACACAAGTTTCCCAATTCTGTCTTTAGGTAAACTGTTGAAATTTTCAACTTATTCAAGTGGTACTTCTATAAGTGCCCCCAACATCTGCCACTTTTACTGTGAATCATACAAACCAGATTTAGGAAAGCTGTAGTAGGGAGTTGGAGAATACTCCTTTTTGTTGTATACAAGTACATCAAGTATTTTCAGTCCATTTCTGTACTTATTAATAGCATTATCAACTCCAGCAATACAATTTGTAAACTTTTTCGAAGTAAATCATTAATACAAACCTGTAGTGTAAATGAGAATTGTACACTTTTTGACTGTTAGAAGAACAGATTAGTGCAGTATCTTCAATTAATTCAGTTAATCCTACAAGGCCACATGGAAACTTTTGCATCTATGTCAGAATATCAAGCATGTTTGTGAAGTTAACCCATTAAAAGACTGAAAATTAGTGCTCTTAACAGTGTGAAGAAAACCCAGCAAGAACTGTGATAAAGTTAACCTGTGGTAATTATGTCATTCTTACTTTCCTGGCCTGGCAAAAATTCCACCCACCCCGGACCCCCCCCCCCAAAAAAAAAAAAACCACAAGCACAGCTCCTCCTTTCATTAAACATTTAAGTAAGTTCTCTTATTCCCTAAAATTTATCAGACAATATCGCTAAACTATAACTATTAATAATGTAATAATGTTCTCCACAACATATTTTGAACACACTATTCTATTCATTAACGTTAAACTTAACTGCATTACAGCAGCGAGTTGCAACACCGGTAAATTAACTGTAAAAGGATAAAAACACAATTTGATTTTTTTAATGTTTTCGAAGTATGCTTTATTCTAAAACATTCTACATTATTTACAAACTTTTCAAAATAACTAATACCCTAAAAAATTAGTGCCCTTATTAATAATGGCATACTTTTAAAAAAGAAACTATTTTACTCTAAGTCAAGGTTTTAGACTTATTTCTGCTTCATCTAATTCCTGTTACAGAACTTAACAAAACTTTTGTTAGATCCCTCAAAAGTCCGGTTAGTTATTTTTCAAAACTTAACATTACTAATAATATTGCAACTCTTAGCAATTTCCATGTTCCCAGAGCTGTTTTATAGAGAGCTGTAGGATGGCACCTTCGAAGAGCAAGAAATTGAAGCACAGAAGATAAAGTGATCTCTACAAGGACATAAAACAACCCCAACAATCTAGTGACAAAATGAGAAATTAATCTATGTCTTTCTGGCCTCCTCCATCCCCTACCCAATCACATGTAGATACAGGAGAGAGTTATTTAGAATATTATCCAAAGATATTCTTAGTATCAAATGATTATTCAAAAAATAATCTATCAAAAGTGGTTCTGATTTAGCTCGAATTTGAAAGTGTACATCATTCCCTTAACACAAGATGTGACCAAAATTTCTCAAAATTAGAATATTGTCTGACATATACATTGTTTTCTGGTTGAACCTATGCAAATGAATATACAGGAGCCCACAAAATAACTGATAGGATTGAATCTATCATGGTCACTTCCAGTGGGCTGTAGTGGTGTTTCCCATTGGCTGTACTGAACTGCTGTCTCACTGGAAAGCATTAGTTTAACTTCCATTCTTCTTAGTTCTATCTTTAGCAAGTTGAAAGCTGCCAAAAAGGTAACATAGTCACAGAGTCACAGAAGGGCTGAGATGACCTGGAGAATATGTAGCTCAACCTCAACTGACGAAGCAGGGTCAATGACAGCAGGTTTCTCAGGATATTGCCCAGTCAGGCTTTGAATATCTCCAGTATCTTCAAGTTCAAGAAGCTTAACATGCTATATTTGAGATCATGGCCTTTCTCCAGTCAAACACATACATGCTTATTTCTGATGCATAGACTTCATGTTACTTAGGTCCAAAGTAGGGGAAAATGCTGTATCTCTATTATAAACCCAGATTCCAGAAGTTGCTGGAAGCTAAACCTTAAAGTGTAATGCAGGAAGACCTGTGGATGTTGGTCATTGCTTTATAGATACATTTGGGTACTGATACCATCAAGATATGCAAAAAAGTTTGGCTGTTCCTCCTGTTCCACAGTCTAAAACCATTTACTTTTTCAAATAAAGTAGCAAGGCAAATTTGCTGGGCCAAAGGAAATTCATCTCCCTTTTAAGAAAGGGCTCTCGTCAGGGACAATGTGCTTCTTGGTAAGGAAGTTTGTCCTGACTGTTGGGCTGAACTTCCTCTTCACTAGGAGATCAGTTCCCAACTTTTCAATCTGCATACAGCTCAGCAGGCTACACCAATAGCACTAAATAAGGAATATGACTACACAGCTCCTGCCATTTTATAATTTGGGTTTGATTATGTCATAGAGGCCAAATGCATTCCAGTTAGCGAAACTGTTACTCAGAACAGATATCATCTGCTAATATATTTCCCAGTCTTTTGTTTAACCAAATAGTATGTACTTTGTGTTCTTTAGTAGACAAAGACGCTTCATCTAGCTAGGGCACTAGTTAAAATGTTGTTTTCAGAGTTTTAGACTTCCCTTTAATAATGAACTGTTTCTGCCAAAACCCCCCCAGTATATTTCTCTACCCACTCAAAAACACAACACCAAGCTCAGAAGTTTAAAAAAAATGTCAATCATCAAGTTTTTAAACTAAGTGATTTTACCTTCATCATCTTCTCTTTTTCTTTGGCACAAAGTTCCACTGCTTAGTCAAGAAGAGTTTTGTTAAACCTTCTGTGCAAAAGTTTGAGTTTGCAAGCCCCAATTCCATCAATAAAAGCTAAATTTAGCTCTTATTTTTGTTCTGATATGACCCACAAAAGAGGTATTTAAAATATGCTATCACAAAATCTTCCAGAAGAGAAGGTCATTCACAGAGCTTGAGGAAGATCAGACACTGCGACATAATTTATTCTGCAAAAATGACATATTGACAAAGCAAAACAAAACAAATTTGGCATGGTGATTAAAACAGACTTTTTCTACACTCAAAATCATTAGCAGATAACCTTACACCTGTTGGATGAGATGTCCTTCCCTTCCCTGATTTCCTGGTACTCTAAGTATTTTATCTGATTAATGCAAATATAGGCTAGCCTGCTCAGCTATATAGCTGAATATTCTCTAACCTACCTCAGACTGAGAAACCTGAAAGTAATGATTTCTGTGAAGTTATAGAGAGAGACAAGGGTCAAAGCTGAGATTCAAGCTAACAGAAATGTGGTGAGCAATATAATGGTATTTAATGCCTACCAAAGAATAGACCTTGACCTCAATAATAAGACTCTTCTGAGCTCAGCTACATGACTTGCATTTAGCAATGCCAAGTGAATTCTGTCCCAGGCTAAGGATTCTTCTTCGACACTTCTTTGGTCAGAAAACAAAAGGTTTGTATCTGATCTCACATCAAATTTTTCCTCTGAAGGAAACAGAGATACTCTTAATTTAGCATCTGGGTTAATTAGAGTAGAAAGAGGTCTAGGGCAGTGAAAACAAGCAAAGGCTGTATGTCTGTCTCTTGAATAACCTTGGAGTTATTGGCAAAAATTTATAGCCTTGTCTGCTGAAAAGTTTAGCTGTAACAATTATATACGTATAAAAGGAAAGTTCTTTTGCTAATTCAAACTTCACACCATATAAGAATGATAAGCTGTACAACATTATTCACTCTGGTTTGTCTCAATCCAGAGTCATACACTAAAGAAAATCCAGGTCATATGCACTTGAGTGTCTCTACAGCATCTGAATTTACTCAACATTAAAGGGAGGAAACGTGATAAGAAAACACTGGAATAATCTCTATGAGATGATAAAGAAATGAAAGATGAGCAAAGGCCATCCTTGTCACAAGGCTGCTGTATTTCATACAAGGGAGAGGAAAAAAAGAAAGAAAAGAAAAAAAAAAAAAAAAAGACTGGGAAAGGTGTATCAGATGTGCCCCTACACCAGGATCCTAATTAAAGATACCTTCTTGTGATCCCTCTCTCTTTCTTAATCCAGAAGCCCAGGAACCACCAACCCCTTCCCTGAAAGACCATAGGTCCTTACTGAGTTTCAGCTCCTCCTTTGTTATATTCCCCAGAGTCTTAATATCTGTTCAAAACCTACCACCTTTCTCAGACCAGTGCTGTTGAGGCTTTCAACATGTTACCTTCAAGCCTTCCACTCCCTTCTTCATCATATCACTCCTACCACTCTTCTCTAAATTCTACTCATTAGCTGTCATGCTGGCCAAGACTATCTTCTCTTTAGCTCCTCAAAAGAACCAAGGCGCCTGCTCTTGATTCTGAAAGAAATTAAGAAATATCCTTCTAGACAGAGTATAATTACTATTTCAAAAACATTCAGAACAAACTCTCTTTGTCTCTCTTCTCTGGGTTCAGAGAAGTGGAAGAAGTGTCT